GCCCATCCATCAATGGAAGGCACCATACCTTTCCAACTATCACTTGCATATTATTGGGGTGACTTTCCATTTACCACCGCTTAGAGCATCTCCAGTAGTCCCTCTTTCCTAACCCTAATGAGGAAAAATTGTTATTTTAGAGATTTTGTAGCTCCAGCAATTCTCCAAACCCAACCTCAATGAGAAAAAAAATTCTCAGTCCCTTAAATCATAGCCTCCCAACCCTCAAACAAAGGGGAGAGCTCTCCACCCCCAATCCACTATTTTTCTCATTGAGGATTGTATTTTCTCGTTCTGCTGAAGAGAAGACCTTCAAAATCTCAAAACACGTTTGTATCTCCTCCGATAACTAGTTTTTGGGTTGGAGTTTTCTCCTACTAGATGCTCTTATGCATATAGTATATTGGAGTGCCCTTTTTGTTCCATCAGATGTCCCACTGCGGATGGGGACCTTTATTTGCACACCTTGTCTTTTTCATGCACGTACCTCTGCTTGCCTGTATGGCTGTATGGGAACGCGCGCTGTGCCGCTTCGTTCTATGCACTCGCATATGTGACGGTCATTTTATTAGGAATGCAAAAACAACATATGCAGGAATCCTATAAGAACGCTTGTTTGGATAGAGGTCTTTTGAGTGGAAGCACACTAAGTTTTCCTACATTTTTTTCCTCCAAAATAGAAGGCGAAGAAAACTTTGATAACATGCCTCATCCTGAGAAGTGTCCACTTTGTGATCAAGCCGACAAAATCATTGATCATCTCCTAATCGAATGTGTATTTTCAAGGCAATTTTGGTACTATATCTTGAGACAGGTCGGTCTCCACTCTCTAGCTCCACAACCATTTGACACTTCATTCGATGATTGGTGGGAAAAAGCAAGTGCAACAACTTCTGGTTTAACACAAAAAGACTTCAACTCCCTAATAGTTTTGGGAGCATGGATAAGGGTGTGTGGGTATGTGTTGTACTAAGGGTTCTTTACCCCCTATTTTTTCTTAATATAATGAAGCGTAGCTCTCCTACAATTTTGGAAAAAATATTCCTATACACTGTTCCTGTGACACAAAAAACAGGAACCTAGCAATCCCTATATATAGGATTTCCAATCTCATATTTTCCTCTCCATTTTTCCTATGAACCAATTGAAACCTAACTGTTTTTACTATACACTAGGTGATCAATCTGTTAAGTATCGGGGCCTCTTTGGAACATAGGATTCTAGAAACACAAGAATAGGAAAAAAACGTGGGAATTGAGTGCCTTGACATTTTGAATCCTATGAATCGAAAAAATATAGAAATGGGGAAATCAAACGTTTTTAGATGGAACATAGGAAAAACACAGGAATTCGATGGGAGAGTGTGTTTGACACAAAAGAAACTTTTCATGAGGTTCAAACCCATGGTAGATTTCCTCCAAAAATTCCTTTGAAACAAACCATTCCATAGAAATTTCACAGGATTTGTAGCAAAAACCCATACTAGAAAATCTGTCGGCCACTACCACATAAATTATTTTGCAGACGGTCATTTTTTATCCTCCATGACAGTGCCTCCGTTAATCTAGCTTTTCGGAGGCATGCGCCTTAACACATCCACACTTCGGGGAATCAAACCCGTGACCTTCGGTTCCGTAATAGCACCTCTCTACCACTACACCACACACCCATTTATTGTTATATATGATATGCTATCCTTTTATATCAATATTTTAAAATCTTATATTGAATATTTTTGCTACTAAATGTACTTAAATGAAAAAACTTTTAACTACAAAGTTTTAAATCTTGTTAAGCACTATAACACTTTGGTATAGGATATCTCTCCATCCGAGATTGTTTGAAAAATTCAAAAAAATGAATATCAAAATATGTGAATTTAAAACAAATATTTGAGACTCTAAACGACTTTAAACAAAAAACTTATCAACAGAAAACATGTAGCTTAGGTCGGCCACTACAACTTCGATATTAACTATGTGAACATTTGAGGTCGTTTAGGAATTCTAAATTTTAAATTTTAAAATCTATAAACTTAGAACACATATTTAGGACTCTAAACGACTTTAAATAAAAAACATTTCAACTACAAAGTTGTAGACTGTATTGAGAAGTAAAACTTTATTAGTATAGACCATGTCAACATCCGAGATTTTTTGATAATTTTAAATTTCAAATTTGAAAATCTATGAACTTACAACAATATTTTGGGACCCTAAGCAGTTTTAATTCAAAAACTTTTTAACTACAAAGTTTTGGATCATGTCAGGAGCTACAATTTGATATAAAGTTTGTCTTCATCCAAATTTATATAAAAATGTTATGAATTATTTTTTATGCAACTATTTATAGAGATGGATATCTTAAGATGCCTACCTCCGTAAATCGATTTTAGTAGACTGATGCTTAGAACGACCACCTCCGAAAATCATCGATTATGGAGGCAGTTGCCTTAAGGTGCCTGCTGCCTCCGAAAATCGATTTATGGAGATGGACGTTCTAAGACGAACGCCTCTGTTGATCGATGATTTTCGAAGACGACCGTCTTAGGTCGCCCGTTTTCCGTAAATGGTTTTCGGTGACAAACGTTTCCCTAGAGCCCCCTGACTATTTATGGAGACGGTCGCTAGATATGGCTGCCTCCAAAAATGATTTGATCCTATCTCCTAAAATCATTTTCTAGTAGTGGGCCATACTAAACAGTGCTAAAGCCGGGCCTGTTCGGCTGGTATTAAAGCCGGCTAATAAAGCCGGCTGAAGTTGGTTTGTTGTGAGAGAAAAATACTGTAGATTCTAGCTGATAAGCCGGCTGATAAGTTCAAGCGAACATGCCCGTCTTTAGCTAGGTGGCATTCTTACCATGCTAATATTTTGAATTGGAACTCATAAAACATGTGATTGTTATGTTTTTTTAGATAGTAATGGATAAAATCTGGCTTCGGATCCCTTTAAGGAAGAGAATTCGGTCCAAAATTATTACAAAGTCTAACTGACAACACATACTATGTTTAACATTAATATAGCCATACGAAAATTAAAGGTCATCCATAAGATGCAAAAAAACATGGACTTTGACTCTAACAACTGTGATTGTTATGGTTAGATGCATATATAAATTATTTTCAAATTATAAGTATTCAGTTATGTTACTGTTGTGATTTGTAACAGAAATGGTGCTGCTGGTTAGTGTCATAATGGTTTTTTATGGATATTAGTAGTACTGATTCAGACACTCATATATACATATATATATATGAATGTATATCCACTCCAATGGATACATACACACACCCTACCCTTATATATATAAGCAACTCTCTGAGAGACAGAACCAACAGATCTCAACGAATACAAGTCTTCAACCACTCTTATTTGATGTATGCATCAGTACCTAAAAGGAGCAAATTAACTAAGAGTACTAACGTACATATCGTATATATATTATCAAGGCCAGCATAGGCGCCCTACCAATATACTCAAAAAGATCCTCGACTATACAGAACAAAATTGCAAGATCCAACAACACAAACAAAATAAGATAACAGATGATTATATATTAGCTGTTGGCAACCGAAGCATTATATTAATTAGTCCTTGGCAAACATATATAGGTGCCATTTGTCAAAGGCACAACTACATAAGTACCCTCGGTTAATTTGCTCCAAGAACATTGCGTATGTATGGAATGTTTTGGGTAACCCATCGCGTAACATAATCATGGATATAAACCATGATATATATGAACCAGGCTTAATATTCTTTTATTTGTACCTAATATAATTGTATGATCTGTATGTTTTTTCATGAATGTGCCCAAGAACGTGTTTCATTAAAAGGGAGAGAATTATATGACGTGCCTACGAGAGAATCCTTGCAACTAAAGTTATAGCAACCTAAAACAATCCAAGGCAGCAGTCCATTGTGTCATATATATATATCTTCCGTTTTTCATCTCATGCACATATATAGAAGAAGGCCTCACCGTGCACATATATATAAATGCTAGAGGAGAGAAATGCTAATGAGGAACAAGTTAGTGTCCAATCGTCATAGTATTTTTATTTTCCCTAGTTTCTATGAGATACGATGTTTGAAAAGTATAGAATAATAGAAGTAATCCGTGCAATTGTTGGTCCATTACATGCAAATCTTGTCAAGACTCGGCAAACAGGATCTCAGCTGCCAAACACATCAGATGGAGGCGACAAGCTACGGGTTGCTTGCATCAGTCCAAACGAATGGCACGACGAGAACCATCCATGCACGACTGATCGAAGAGTCAATTTTAACCGGTAAAAAACTAAAAGATGCTCCATCCATTCACAAAAGAATGTAATTATATGATTCGTGTAGTTCGACTAAGTTTACAATAAACAGTATCATCATTTATGTCTCCAAATAAATTTATTATAAGAATATATTCAATAACTAATCTAATGGTACTTATTTTGTATAAGAATCTTATAGCACCTTTTTACATGACCTCAGTCAAAGTTCAAACGGTTTGACTTCTCGACAAACAAAAATTGCACTTTTGTGAATGGAGAGAGTACTACAAATCAAAAGAAGAAAAATAAAGGAACTAAAGTAAACACATCAAACCATGATACCAACGCAACTTACTCTGCAAAAATGCGTGGAGAGAAGAATATGAAGAACTAACCTACACACTTACGCCCAAATATGCATGCGTTTATGCTGCTCCGATCTTTAAACAATGTCGATCAATTAATTCCTCCCAAATTTCTAATTAAAAAATAAACATCTGATCTTTAGCTTCTCCGATCCCTACATACTTACGTCCCTGGGAAAACCTAAGTAATGTGGTAAACAGTGCTAAGATCCATCCTCCAATTAATAAGTGAAAAAAAAACACGCTACCTTCTGCCCCTAGTACGTGTTGCCGCCACTCACTCACACGATCAATGCAAGCGAAGCAATGCATGCGCTATGCTGCTAGCTAGCTGTTCTGCCGATCGAGCACGATCTCTGATGCACGATCATGGCCTCCACGCACTCGTCCACACCACGGGCTGCTCCTTCCACGCGAGGAACACCCCGGCCGCCGCGCCGTCGTCCGCGCCTGGCTCTCGCAAGGTCCATCCCTCCCGATACCGGCGCAGCAACGACCGCATGTCGTCGGCCACGTCGTCGCTGAACGCCACGGGAGAGAAGCCGGCCGACCGCATGCGCCGCGCCCACGACGCCCCCGTCTCCCGCCTCTCAACGGACTCCGACGCCGGGCAGGACACGAGGTCCACAATGGCACGCCCCGCCGCCCTCTCCAGCGCGAGCCTCTCGTTGGTCGCCTTCGGGAAGCTCTCTTCCAGGGAGTCCATGTACGCTGAGAAAAAGCGGAGGCCCTCGGTGAACACCTTCATGAACGCCGCCTCCGTCTCCGTGTTGGCTGCTTCCTCGGCCGACGACGACTCGGATGCCGCCACGAGATCGGCGTCCTCCTCCACGACGGTGACCACGCGCGGCTCGAGCCGGCGGAGCGACGCGACGAACGCGTCACGCCGCCGCGCGCCTCCCGGCGCGACCCCGCGCAGCGCGTTGACGCAGTTGATCGCGAGCGCGGTAGTGGCGCCGCCCTCGCGGAGGTCGAGGCCGTCGAGGTCCAGCTCCGCGAGGTCCCCCGCGTGGTGCACGGCACGGAAGGTGAAGGGCACGCCCATGAGGCGCGCGAACTTCTCGAGGCGCTGCGCGATCTCCCGCATGACGCGCTGCGCGGCCGCGGACGGCGCGGCGGTGGGCACCACGGTGGTGATGGACAGGTGGGGCGTGTCGTCCGACGACCTCGTGGCCAGCGCCTCCAGCAGCGTCGGCCACTGCGTGCAGAAGGTGTTGCTGAGGTCCAGGATGTGCAGCCGCGGCGGCTGCTGCGAAGACGAGGAGGAGGAAGAGGACGCCGCCCCGGCCGCCGCCGCCGCCTCCAGGAACGCCTCGAGTATGGCCCCGTTGGCGGCCACGTGGCCGAAGGACGCCCAGGGGCTCAGCTCCTGGAACCTGAGCGCGGTGCGGCGCGTGGACTCGAAGGACGTGTTCCGGTCGGACGCGGCGGCGAGCGTGCGCAGCGTGCGCGGGCCGGAGGTGGTGAGGCGCGCGAAGAGGCCCTGGAGGAAGTAGGACGCCAGCTTCTGGTCCACGTCCCCGTACGGCGACGCCAGCTCGTTGAGCATCCACATGAGCTGCTGCACGCGCTGGCTGTCGCGGGCGGCCACGGCGCGCGCGCACTCCAGCAGCAGCTGCGCGGCCCACCGCCCGGCGCCGCCGCCGCCCGAGGACGACGAGGCGGCGGCGGTCCCGCCCCGGCCGCCCGCGCCGGAGGACGACGCGGGGGAGCTGAAGTCGAGATCGATATCCACCTGCGGGAACGAGAAGTCTGCCGCCTCGAACAGGTGGGCACCGGCGGCGCCGGACGACGTGGACGCGGGCTGCTGATGCGGTGGCGTGGGCGCGGGAGACGACGAGGGCGGCGCCGCCGGCGGGGCCGCGCGCGACTGGAAGTGGCGCGACGAGGACGAGGAGGAGAAGTCTTCATCCATGTAAAAGCGGTGGTCGTTGGCGCATTCTTCTTGGTACGGCGCCGGCTGGTGGTGGTCGTAGTAGTAGCCGCCGCCGGATCCTCCACCGCTGCCACTGCCGGCAGGGTTGTCGTAGTAGTAGCCGCTGCTGCTGCTGTAGTGGGAGTGGGAGTGGGAGTAGTAGTGGTGGTTGTGGGTGTGGTAGGAGGAAGGGGAGGAGCGTGAGCCGGTGGAGGTGGTGCTGCTGCGGGACGTGGTGGAGCGGGAGCTGTAGGGGGACTGGTGGTGCTGGTCCGGCGAGGAGGACGCTGCTGCTGCTGCTGCCTGTTGGTGATGCTGGTGGAGGCTAACCAACCTAAACAGTGTATCCATCTAAACCACCACCGGCGCGCCAGGAGCCAACAACATGCATACTACGGTGTAGTGCCAGCAAATGGGCTTGTGCTGTTGTTGCTACACAAACACAGCAATCTGGTGGTGGCCTTGTTGTGGTTATAACCTGCAAAAGGAGGAGGGGATGCATGTTGGCGACCATACCACCACCACCACTTTTCTTTTTACTATTGCTACCACTGTTCTTGGATAGATAGATAAGGTAAATTTTGGGTGCTTTTTGTGCGATCGATGAGGTGAGGGGAGAAACTAAAGCGCATGCATGCTTGCTCATCTTCATCTGATTGGAGGATGGGGTTCTCTTCTTTCTTGGACCTTTTTACTACCGGCTGAGGTGGAGTAGTGCCTCGTCAGCTTTTTCATCCTCTTGCTTGCTTATCCTGCCTTTAGTTCTGGGTGTTGATCAACTTTGGCGAAGTAAAGGGCCGGCTAAAGTGGGCGTGACAGTAGGATTGTGCGCAAAAGGCAGGCCGCAGGCGGATGCAGATAGCGACGATTGGATGCATTTGAAAAATTCTGCTGGCCCACCCGACAGCCGTGTCTGTATCCCAACACCGTTATTGCATTTCCGCCGAATAAGTATAGTACAGGCACGATTAAAGCTATCACCACAAAATTACAGTGATTATTACTCTCTCCATCTAGAGAAGAATGTAACTATAAATTGCGCACACCAGTTAAAATGGTTCACGTTTAGCTAAGTTTCTAATGAATGATATTCATATTTATGACTCTAAATTAATTTATTATAAAAATATATTGTATATTAATTTAATGATACTTATTTGATATTATAAATATTAGTACTTTTTTATCTATGGTTCAGCAAACTTGTAAGATACTAAAACATGATAATATGCTAATTGTTTTCTTTTTTTTTTGAACTTTGGGAGTATTAACATCTGATATGGACATGACGACACCCACATGGGTGAAAAGTCACAGGGTTTGGCCAACCAGAACGTTCCGTTCAGTAGAGAGACGAGTGCGCTGGGTCAAATGTTGTACCCTCCTGCAGTTACCTTCCAACCTGCTTCATTGGCCTTATTAAAAAAAGTTGCTCCATTAGTTATACAACCTGACAATTAACACTTGATCACCAGCAGCTAGCTCAGCGCTATTTTGTAACTATCAACAAGAATAGGAAAATCACTGTATGTCCTCTGTACTTCGTTTGTTTCTTTGCTATATATACTCTGATCTGATGATTTCATGTGATATTTACAACAACATTTGAATAATGAATATGAAGCTGAGCAAGCGGCATTTCAGCCCTGTTGGTTTCGCTGAAATTTGGTTAATGCTGATGCTTATGCTAAAATGCTGTGAATGAAAAATATTGTTCATTCGTTGAAAAGTACTGCTGAAGTAGTGCTGCAGAACATGACGTTTAATATACTTTTTCAGCCAAAGATAGAACAACATGTTGGAAAAGGCATGCCAAAAGGCGTGGGTTAATTGATCTAAGTTTCAGATAATCAATCAATCAAATAAATGGTCTTTTAAGTTCGCATAATATGCATCCTCTCTCTTCTTTTGAAAACATGAAGAATCAATCAATGGAGGATGATGAGAATAAATCTATGAAGGATGATGATCTTCAAACTACCTTTAAAATTAGGAAATTAACTATTTAGGGTCACTTGGGAATGTAGAAATAGAAAATTATCTAATACCAAAAACATATATAGATAGAATGTTACTACAGATTCATAGATTCCAAAGAAAAGGCAATCGAAAGTGATGGGCTTGCCCTATCATTGCTGGTTGTAGACCTAGCAGCAATAGGATGCTATTATTGTCGGGTCTAGCCACGAACCAACGGTGATAAAAAATATTGTGTTTCTAGAATTCAAACTTAGACCTCAACGTCTCAAACGTTCACATCATCCGAGCTACACAACACACAACACTTGTAACTATATAACTAATACTATTCTTTTAACACATTTATGAATCTTATATTGTACTCCATCTGGTCCATTTTATAAGGGTAGTTAAATATTATAATATTTCAAATTATAGTTTGATCATTTATTAATTTTATATTATATTATTTTTGTTTATAAGATTATGATTATTGGATTGTACATTTGATTACAAATCTAATAATATCAAGTTTGTATTACAATAGTTAAAAAGATTGGCTAAATTATTAGTCAAAGATTATAAATTTTGACTCTTTATTTACGTGAATCCGTTATAAGCTAGATCGGAGGGAGTATATTTAACACTATAGACAATCTCAAATAAGAAGTCGTTAACTGCAAAGTTATATATCTCATCGAATACTACATATTTAATGGTGACTTTGTCTCCATTCAACGTTGTCAACACTCAAATCCGATCCGGTAACCTATATTGAATATATGGACATATAAACCATTTCTAGATTTCTGGCATCTGTAGAGATCGATTTCTAGATTCAGTCTAAATCCAGCTGCTTCTAAAAATTACTTTTTCAGGATTTTTAAATCGGACAAAACAATAGCAAAAAAATATTTTAACCTGGAGAGACTCCACTATCCAACCGCCCATCACATGGCACAAGTCGCGTAATTTTTCACGCGAATGCCACCATGAGGGATCGACACAAGGCATCAAATGCATGCCTCGCACGTTACTTCCTTAACCACTATGTCTTAAAGTTATTTGTGACTAAGTATTTGATACATTCTTTTTTTATTCACTTTAGTAAAAATTGTAATGCATATTTGAGATCCTAAATAAACTTAAATGAAAAGACTATGGATTAAATTTTTTAGATCTTTTTAAGTACTATAAGTTTAGTTTAAGTTGTTCCTCCATCTGAGGTCATTTGAAAAATTGAAAAAAAAATTAAAATTGTTAATCTTAAAATAGAATTTCGAGGCCTTTAATGATTTCAAATGAAAAAAAATCGTCAACTACAAAGTTTCATATCTCTTCGAGTACTACAACTTCAGTTAGGTCATTTCTCCATCTGAGTCACTTTGAATTTTTTTAAATGAATTTTTGAAAATCTAAAAAACTTAAAATTGAGTTTCCAGGTACTAAATGATTTCAAATGAAAAAAGTAGTCAATATAAAGTGCAGATCCCTTTACTTCAATTTTTCTTTAGGTCTTTTCTTCATCCATGGTCATTTAAAAATTTAAAAAATGAATTTCAAAATTTGAAAACTTTAAACATATTTTTTGTGCACGAAATGAATTTGGATGAAAAATTCCTCAACTATAAAGTTTTATATATCTTTGAGTACTATAATGTTGATATAAAGTCTGTATTCATCAGACTTGATTTTAAAAAGTTATGAGTTTTGGTGTGTGCCACCTATTTTTTAGAGACGTGCCAAATTGCCAACAGACTATAGAAATGGAGGCATTTTCTAGATGCAACTGGAATACATTCTAGCTCTTCAATCACAATGGCCAAATTTCCAAACTGCCTACTTTCTCCGTCTCAAAATAAGTACACTTCTAGAGTATTGGTGAAGAGATTAATGTTAGTGAGAAATTACATATATGTCCTATAAAAGTGTAATCATTATATCTTGGGAAGAGAGAAAGTAGAAAAAGACAAGTGAAGTTAGTTTTCTTATGTCTAGAGGTGCATTTATATTGGGAAAAAATTGAACTCTAGAAGTGCACTTATTATAGGACAGAGGGAGTACAAGATATTCCCTCTATCCCACAATTAGCTTGTTCGCTTGTTGGTTTCAGCCAGGGCTTATCACCAGCTAAAACAACAATTCCCTCCTTAGAAATCAACCAACAAACAGACGATAAGTGACATTTTAGGATTTAAAATTTGCCCTATAATACGTGGCATTCTAGCTCTTGGCCCACCTAGAACTAATTGGTTTAGCTACTTTTCAGTTTCAAAAAGTGCAGTTATTACAACTTGTTTGGTTGTCATCCAAGCAACAGCCTAAGGCCGTCAATTTCGATCCTCTAAGGCTATCTCAACAACAACAACACCTAAAATATAAGATCCATTTGATCTTTAAGTACCGCTACAGGTAAAGGGTTCAATACCTATTCGGCATCTTCTCCAACAATAAGACCAAAAAAAAATCATTTCTGCAAATGAGTTTTCAGGAGAGATGATACTCATATTTGGGTTGTGCCTCCCAAACAACTCAAAATGAGTCTCTCATATAGGTATTCTGTTGAAGATCGATTTTAGGTCTCTTACTACCTATTTTGAGGCCTGGATGCCCATATAAATCTATTGTTGGAAACACTCTAATGACTTAGGATATATTGCCTTGTAGGCATTTGTCTATGAGGCCACCAACTAAACATGCTCTACATGGCAAGATAAGCTTTTGTAAGGTAGCATACACATCATTTTTCTGTAACACTAATTTCTCTAAAGGATCATAAAATATGACTTATGGGATGGAAGTAGTATATGGGACTCTTAGCAATAAAAATCTGCAAAGAAGAAGAGGAAAAATGTCTAGGTGGACGTTGGAATACCTTTTTATTTATATATGTTTTCCGTATGATGATGAAATCAACGATGGCAAATTGAAGTAAAATCTCCATCACTGCCCTTGTGCCCAGAATCCTGCTTTATACAAATCCTATAGCATGATCACCCGATCCTCAACTTTCCCTAGTAGAGAAAACAAATCCTCTAGTACAAGCCCTTGTAAAGGCACAACAAACTTTTTCAGTATGTAGACGACCGAACCGAGCATGAATTTGGCAGTTTGGGAAGAGGCAGCTAGCAGGCCGTAGTAGCACGCATGGTGGCCGGCGCGCACGCACGCACGCAGACGCAGGAGGCGTCGATCGATGTGGGAGAAGCGAAGGAAAGAGGAATCACACGAGATTCCCAGTCCGAGGCACAGGCAGGCAGTCGGGAGGCATAGCGGCGACAAAAGCTGGCGCAGCCAGCGCACGCGGGCGCGGGCGTCCAACCGGTCAGCCCAGGGCATCATCACCATTCACCTCCCGTCCTCCTCCCCTCGGCATCGCATCGGTCGAGCCG